TCTTGCACAGGATCACCGCCTCGTCGCTGCTCTTCACCTGGGGGTTGGGGACGAGGGCTCTCAGCGGTGGGGGCGCAGGGCCTCCCGGCGCGACCGCGGCCCCGAGCACACCCTGACAGGCCTGACAGGCCGCCGCGCGGCAGACGGCCGGCCCCGAGCCCACACTCACTTTCTCTCGAGTCTTCTCCAGAAAAGTGAGAGCCACATTAGGATCTAGAAAAGGAGGCACAACACGCTCAGGAGAACCAACAGAGTCTCGTCACAGCCTGGTTTTGACCAACCAGGACACTGTGAGGTGGGATAACCCTTAGGGTTAGAACCCTTAGGGGTTAGAACCCTTAGGGTTAGTAGTAAAAACACAACTCAGAACCTGCTATTTCCTACCCAAATGCAACAGCTGGACTGGCTGTTAACTACCGCCTGGACCGGCCCCTCCCGGGCGCTCGCGGACTCACCTGTCATCTGTCGGACCACGTGGAGGATGATCTCCACCAGCGACAGCGGGTTCACCCTGGAAGAAACCACCAGCCTGGAGTGCCCGCGGGCACCCACGCTTCCCTCCCCCGGTCAGAAACAGACGACAGGGATTTACCTGTGTTCGAACTCACTGATGAAGTTTTCGTAAAGCTGTGGAGGGAAAACACGGAGAGAGATTACAGGGCGCCCTCACCCTGCGGGGCCCAGACTGCAGGCTGGTTACAGGCCATCGCCAGTTTCCCGGGCCAGGCAGCCAGCCCTCGGGCACGTCCTCAGACTCTGCTGATGCTGCCAGCTCAGAGGCTGTCCGGCCAAGCAGACCTGGGGACAAGGGAAGAATGGCCCGCACCCCGAGCGCTCGGGAGCAAGGGAGGTCAAAGCACACGGGCGCAGCAGCCGAGGGGAGAGGTTTCAAAGGTTCTTCCAGGAACGGTGGGGAGTTCTGAGGGGCGAAAAGCAGAGGGGCGGCACCTCTGGTGTGCGTGTGGGGGCAGCTGCGCGAACATTCCGGACGGGAACCAGAGCCACAGCGCTGAAAACACACCTGCACTGTGCTCTGGGGGATCTCTGAAGGGCAGACCGTGACCGGGGGCCCAGAGCACGGCCAGGGGCGGCGGGGGCGCGACCGCAGCAGCAGACGCGCGGTCAGAAGGTGCTGCCGGTGGGTCGAGCCAGACTCTGCGGGCAGGTCCCCGAGACGGGGAGCCCAGTACGACCGCTGAGCCTGCAGCTGGGTAACTGGGCAGAACAGGGAGGGGGCGTCCAGACGAGGTCAAGTTAGGGTAAGGAGAGCCTGAAGTTCCTCTGGGACACGCAGATAGAAAGACAGACGAGAAGTGTGGAAGAAAATGCGGTGTGCGCGCGCACACACACACACACACACACACACACAGACGTTATCCAGCCACAGAAAAAGCAAACCCTGCCGTCTGAGGTCAGGCTGGGTGTGGAGGGCGTCACGTTGCGGAAAACTAGCCCGACAGAGAGCCACGGGCACCACGACATCATGTACACGTGCAACCTGAACGAGCGGACTTCGCAGACACAGAGGGCCCCTTGGCGGTTGCCGGAGGCGGGGGCAGGGGTGCGAAATGGGCGAAGGGGGTGAGAAGGTCCAACTCCTGCCCGCGAGACAGGAAGCCCCCCCGGGGGGGGGTGGCACAGGGTGCGGCGGGTGCGGCCCACAGCGCTGCGCGTCACAGGTCTGCCAGCTGCTGGGCAGGTGCGCCCCTGAGGGTCTCCCCGCGGAGAACCTCTGTGTGGTGAGGGGCGTTGAGGGCACCGACTGTGGGGACCACTGCGCATTCACACACACGTCAGATCACTGTGCCCGTTACTTCTCAGTAAACCTTGGAGAAGAGAAAGCAAGCCCCTTCCCTGCAGCAGCCAGTGAGATCCTGACCCTGTCACCCAGCAAAGAGCAACGTGAATAAGAAGGCTGTCTCGTCACAGAGGACAGCGTCAGTGGCATCCTCCTCAGTAAGAGGGGTTGTTCAACAGCTCCGATGCCTACCACCATTTATGGAAGCACCTCAAGAAAGCAAGCCCTGTACAGAGAGAAGTCCACTAAACCTAGAAACTCAAAATTACTCCTGAATTCACAAATATGATCTACCTGAAAGTCACGTGGACTGGGTCCCAACAGTTTTTAAAGGTTCACTTTGTTCTTAGAAATACTGAACCTAAATCTGAGGACCTGAGTAGGGGTCATGTCCAAGGTTTAGGAGGTATCCTGCTGCGTGCAGAAAGTGATTTGAAGACAAGACAGCACAGGAAAAAGTGAACGGTCACACAGGACCCGCCACCGTGGTGCAGAGCCGTAGGGAGCAAACAGTGGGACAGCTGAGTCCTCATCTCCCCCCTCGGCCCAGCAGAGCCTCCAGGCTGACAGACGATCAACAGCAAGTCCCTCTGAGTACAACATGTTAAGCTGACGGGTGTAAACCACAGATCTCAGGAGCTCAGGTGGCACTGAGGTGGCGAGTGTCACTGTGGGCGTCCGGAGCGACGTGTGCAGGGCAAGGAGCTCACGCTGTCACCGCGAACCGTCTCTCAGCTCCAGGCAGGTGCGGATCCCTGATTTGTTCAGGATTCAAGAGGGAGACACCAGGAAACTGCGAAGAGCAAGTGGCCAGCGAACAGGTCCGTGGGGCTTTCTCAGGAGCTCGGGGTGCGGCTCAGGTGGGGATGGGCTTGCTCGTGCTGACGAAACCCCTTCCGCTGCGCAGAAGGTGCTCCCTCTTCCATAGGACCCAGGACAGAGGTGTGGGCCAGCAGGCACAGTGTGGGGGGGTGCTCCGGTGAGCCCCTCTCTCTGTATCCCTACTTTGCCCTCAGCTGGTTTTGAACTTTCAACTTTGAACAGTTTTCTAAAAGTACAGCAACAAAACAGTAAAATTCAACGGCATGCCGGCAGGTGCTAAAAGACAGAACGTATATCACTTCATGGCTGTGACCTACGGCGACTCCCTCAATCTCTTAGTTCTGCTTCAATGGCGAGAAGTCGGGTGACAGCAGCGCCGGCCCCCCAGTCCCCCAGTGCCGCTGGGAAGGGTCAGTGAGAGCAGGGGTGCGCGCAGCACTCGGCACGGCACTGGACACACAGTGACTGCTGGGCAGCTGTGGCGTTTTGTGAGAACCACCACCTACGGTTTTAAAGAGCCCTTGGGCACATGCACACAACCTGACCCAGTGCGACCAATCACGTACCTTGATGAGACCATCCCCTTGGGCGAAGCACGGGTCCTGCACAAAGTCAAGCACCTGAAGTGTCAGCTGGTGCCACAACCTGAAAAACGAGGCCCGTGAAACCTATGCCAAGTCGCAGCCACGGGCGGCCCAGACTGTCCCATCACACGGACCCCAGGCCGTGCCGCCCACCAGGGAGAATGCAGCGGGTGCTGCTGACCCTGCGCTCTTTCCCGGCCGGGCTCCTTCCTGCTCATGTCCCCCAAGACCACCTCTCCTCTGGGGCGAGCAGCTCTCCCAGCTACAAACAGAGAGCATCTCTCTGGACTACCGCAAAGGGCTCCTGTAAGGTCCACCGGAAACGAGAACTGTGGAGTCCACACATTCCAGCTGAGGTCCTGACCCTTCTACCTACTGGCTGAGTGTCTCGGGGAAGGAGCACAAGCCATGCTCCCGTTTCCTCATCTGTGGATGGGATGCCTGAAGAACTGAATACAGAAAACCTCCGGAACAACAACACATTTAAAAGGAAAGGCTAATTTTTAAAAATGCAAATAAAGTGCTGTGGAAAATACGAAATGCTACCCGACACAAGCAACTGTTTGCTAAATACTGGGCATTTTCTCCCACAAACTGGTAATGGTAGAAGGTTGACCACCAGCCGAACACACAGTGAGTATCTACGCGAAGGGCGCCACGCGGAACGCTGGGGGTCGTTAACTCAAGAACCCACAACTTAACCTTCCTGAAACTCATCCTATTTCTACACACACCCGAACTGCGATTGCTCTAGGGGCACAGCCCAGGATGAAGTGCCGTGGAAAGTCGGACCCGTGGGAGAGGGGACAAGGGGCTGCACCCCAGCGTGCACCCAGACGCAGAATCGAAGTGGTAAAGGACTAAACTGCGCTGGCCGCGAGTTCGTGCTCCTCAGACCGAAGCGGAAGACGGCTGTGGACACAGGCCACGTGCAAGACACAGGGTCTGCTCTCCAAAACGGGGGTGGGGGGCGGGCGGCTTGACCCCTCACGGAATCGAGAGCTGAAATCACAGGCCAGCCTTGAACCTCCTTCCGAAGATCAGCAGAAAGGGGGGTTCAGAACCTCAGCACAGCCCCTCAGCCAGGAGGCAGCGACCTCATGACCCCCAAACCCTGGCCCTGGCGCTGGCACCCCTCCCCCCGACCCGGCCCCTCCAGATGCCCCCTCTCGCGCCCAGCCGCTCCCCGCCCTCGCCCGCCGGTCCCGTCCGCGTGGCGCTCACTTCTTCGTGTAGAGTTCCTCCAGACGGTGCCACACGGCCGCCTGGCCGGGCCCGGAGCTCTGGCTCTGCTGCAGAAAGCCGGTTACGTCCTTCATGACGGCGACAACACGGAGAACCAGCGCACCGCGGAGAAGTCAGCACCGCGGAAAGAGCAGCCGGAAGTGCTCACTCACTTCCGGTGCCGTGCCGCGCAGGGCAGGCCGGGAGCGCGGCCCGGCGCGCCCGCTGGTTGCCAGGGAAACCGCGCCTCCGTGCCCCAGGGTGGCCCGGGTTTCCGGCGCCCGGGCGTGTGAGCCGCAGCTTCTCTCCGCGAGACCGGGGACGACGATGCTACGTTCCTAGCTGTGTGTGTCCTTCGAGGACCCGGTGTAAACGTAATCCCTGGTCAGAGTCCGGGCTCCCGAAGCGCCACCACCATTCCTACTGGAAAAGGTGGGCGTACGGGATGGGGCGACGCGGACGCCGGCCTCGGTCTCGGGGCGGAGTTCTGCGGAGTGGGGAGCCGCTCCCACCGGAGACTGCCAATCCCGGGCCGCGCGGGGCGAGGCGAGAGCACGGGGCGGGGCCGGGGGTGGGGCGAGCGAGCGGACGGGCGTGGGAATCTCGGAGACCGCGGCGCGAGCGGGTTGCGGCGAGTATGGCGCTGTGGGTTCGCTCCGCTGGTCGCGCTCTCAGGCTCTGGGGCCGGGGCGGTGAGCCGGCCTGGGCCTGCCGCCATCGGTGCGTCCGGGTAGCAGCCGCGGGGCGGGCGGCGGGGGAAAGGGCGGAGACGGGCTGCCTGGGTGTTGCCTTGGTGGTCAGAGGCCGGGGAGAAAGCCGGGAGGGGGGTTCCGAGTCCGGCGGAGCAGCTGTCTGGGGCCCCTCGCCTGGTGCATGCGGCGACGGGAGAACCGGGACTGTGCTGTCTGTTCCCGGCTCGGTTCTCAATTCTGCTCGCGGCGTCCCGTGTCCGATGTTGACACCGCCGCTCTCAGAGCCCAGTCGGTACTTGGGCTTTCACTTAACGGTGTTTCTTGGACTTAACTTCCGTTTCAAAGCAGAAGTGCTTCTTCCACCCTCTCTACTGATCTGCAGGATTCCGTTGTTCCGCCGTCCTCCGATTTCTGTAACCGTTCTCTTACCGGAATAGTTTCCAATCTTGAGCATTACAGATAATGCCGTGGTGAACTACCTTGTCTGTAGGTCACTTCTTTGATGAATTCCTAGTAGCGGAACTCCTCGGGCTAAAGCCCAGCGCACTTTATCGCCCCCTGTGGAGGTCGTGCAGGGGACGCTCCCGCCAGCATGGGTTGTGTTCACGCCCTCCCTTCTGCACAGTAATTGTGTAGTTGGAATCCTCGTCTGGGGCCGGGGCCTGCTCATGGAATGATCTTAAGGCCCACAGTTGTTAGGAAACTAGTTTAAATGGCCAGTGTTGGGTGGATATTAAGTACAGTGGCACATTCGCTCCGTGCTATCTTACCCAGCTCCTAAAAATATTGGTGAAGAGTTCTACAAAGTGATACTGAGGAGTCTCTTAGTCATCCAAGAAACCTTTAGACCCATCCTGTGCCAGACTCGGGGAGATGCTGAGGGCACAGCAGGTGCTGGACGGATGCTGGCTTCCGGGCGGCTCGTGCGTTCCAGCACCAGGCCCTGCAGGCGGCCTTGAGGGTGGGACGCTGCTCAAGAGATACCTGAGCTCCCAGGTGCTGCTTAAGAGATTGGATGGCCACAGACAGGTCCTGGCTGCCACTGCCCCCAGAGCAGGGGGTGCAGGCGGCCTGCAGGGCTTCCTGCAGTTGGAACTTTGGCCCTTTCTGTTTGATTTGGGAGCTTCCGTGTGGAGCCATCCTCTGCTTCCCTTTCCCAGGCTTGCCCCTCAGGGCGCTCCTACACCCAGCCAGTCTCATTCCGTGGTGCGCGTGGACTTCAGGCCGCACACCGCACGTACACTCTGGACTTCTGGTGAAGTCCTGTGGTTGCAGTTTCCCGTGACGGGCATCCGTGCGGGTAGGAGGCGTGTGTGCGGCCCTGAGTGGGACTGGGCACGCAGCAGGCCCTTGCAGCGACGGGCTCAGCCCCCAACACGCCCCCCACCACAGATGCCCGTGCAGGCGCCAGCTGTGCTGCTGGCATTAGATCTGAGGCTCCCACCACCCCTTCAGGTTGGATGAGTTTGCTAGAGCAGCTCCCAGGACTCAGGAGACCAGGGTACTTCCTCAGTTTGGGGTTTGTGATGGAGATCGTTGAAGGGCACAAACAAACAAAGGAGAGACGCACAGGGAATGGTCTGGAAGGGGCCCGGCCCGCGTGTGCTTCCCAGTTCCCTGTCTGACGGTTCTCTGAGTCTCCCTCCTGTTCGTTCAGTGAGGCTCCAGCCCTCCGTGGTCGGTTCTCCTGATAACCAGTCCCCATCCTTAGGAGACTTTCAAAAGTCTCTCACTGACAGGAGCTCAGGTGTGGCTGGAAAGGGCCGTGAAGACCCGCGTATGCGTTTATAATGTGAATCACGGCATCGCAGCCTCCCTCTCACCCTGCCTGCGGCTCCCACAGTGACCGGCATTTCGAGGAGCTCAGCAGACGCTGGGTTTCAGTGTGGTGGCGGAGCTGGCGAGCGGGCTCTCCTTCCTGGCCACCCGAGCAGCTCTCGAGAGAAAGCCCCTTTGCACTCGCTCACAGAAGTGGAGCGGAGTCCCGTGCAGAACCAGGGCCATCTCTGCAGGAGTGTGGGCGGGGCGGCACTGTTTGCTGGCTGGGAGGGTGACAGCCCCTGGGTCTGCTCAGGCAGGGTCGTCCCTCCCTGCCCAGCTGGGCTTCGGTGGCCGAGGCAGTGGGCATCTAAGTGATGAAGAGATGGGCAGTGAGCTCGGGCCCTGACCCCTTTTGGTGCCCTCAGCCCTGCACGTGCGCCCTCCCTGCCACCCTTCTCTTTCTCAGTGTGCACCTTTCAGAAGCCTGTTCTTTGGATAACCCAGGTGACACTTTGGCAGGAGAGGGGACAATGCAGAGGCTGCGTGTGGACTGAGTGGCAAGCAGGTGCCTGAGCTGCAGGTCACTGGCCCCAGAGTGGAGTGAGGCAGCCCTCAGGTTGCTGCAGGGAGAAGAGGGTGACCCTAAAGGGAGCGGGGAGCCAGTGCTGGCACCGTTCAGAGGAGGGGCCGTGACCCCTCACTGGGCTCAGTGGCGGCTTCATAAGGAGCTGGCCTGGACTCCAGGAAACTGGGCATGTGGAGGCGGAGAGAGGGAGCTGGGTGTGGGCACACAAGGACCTGGCCGTGGGGGCCCTTGTCCGGCTGACAGGAGGGGCATGTGAGAGGGCCAGCCCTGCAGTGGGCGGGCGGTGCCGGACGTCAGGGCCCTGTGGGGGCAGGGAGCTGTAGGGCAGGTCCCCGTGCACGGAGGGTTCGGTGTTGGATTTGGAAGGAGCAGAAGGAAACACGAAAGACGGAGCAAACCAGAGAGGGAGTCAGGGACGTCCTCCTCGAGGGTGAGCTCTGGACGGCCCTGCCGTCTAGACGTGTGCGTGCAGGGGGCTTGTTTCTGTCATGTGTCACCAGCGAGTTGAGGAAACACTCAGTTTCCTGTGTTCAGGTCTGTGTTTGCTGTCGAGTTATCATCACGTGGGGAGGGTTGTCCATGCAACCTGTTGCCTCTGTTTGGTCGTGGAGGAGGAGGGGTCTGCGTGCCAAAGTCACGGACACCAGCCCCTGGGGTGCAAGAATGCACCCTGAGCAGGGGGTCACAGTCATGGACTCTGGGCGGGGCATCAGTCAGACTCCAGGAAGCGGAGGCCTTCAAGGGGTGTTGCGGTGAATGCCAGCGAGGGCCCGGAGCCGCCTCAGTTTCCAGCGGGGCCGAGAAGGTGCTGGGAGCTCGGCAGCGGACTTGCTTGGCTGTGCTGTGAGGGGCCTGCGGGTGGGCTGTGGAGGCGGCGTCGGCAGCAGTTTGAACCCCTGGCCGTCAGGGCACGGATGTTTCTTTATGGAGTGTCTCTGGGGCCTGCCTGCTACCCTGATGATGCGTGGTGTCAGGTGTGAAACTCGGAGAGGCTTCACTGTCGTGAAGTGAGTTCGCTGCACACTTGCCACCCTCCAGGCGCGTCAGAGTGGCGGGGTCTGCAGAGCCAGCCCGCGGCTTGCAGCCGGCAGAGCGGCTCTGGGCAGAGCTGGCCCCGGGGGCACGGACCTGTGATGACCAGACTTCGGGAATGCTGCCTTCCTTGTTCGCACGCTTCCCGCGTTCACACCGGCTCTTTTGCCCCTACATGCGCCTCAGCTTCCGAGTCGAGTCTGCTCTCTGCTGGAACCCCATGTTCGAGACGGGAAAGGGGCCCTCGGGGACAGGAGGGGTGTGGCCATCCCGCGGCGGTCTCACTGTCCACCGCTGGCCGGGCCTGCTCGGCACAGCCCTCCGGCCACTCTCCTTTCTCTGCCAGTGTTGCAGGTGGGAGCAGGCCCACACCTTCCTCTGCTGGGGCCTCAAGCGCCTTTGGGAGCGGAGGTGGCGGTGAGGAGGAGAAGCCCTTCCTAAAGGACGTCGCAGAGCTGATCCGCACCCAGGCCGGCCAGAGGGTGGTGGTCATGGCGGGGGCCGGCATCAGCACGGCCAGCGGCATCCCGGACTTCAGGTGGTCCCCCCCCCCGTGCCTGCCCGCCCCGCCGTCCCCGGCCGACCCACGGCCCGGTCCCCTGACGGCTCTGGCTTCTCTCGGCAGGTCCCCGGGCTCCGGCCTCTACAGCACCTTGCGGCACTGGGATGTCCCGTACCCAGAGGCCATTTTCGAGCTCCCGTTCTTCTTGGCCAACCCCAGGCCCTTTTTCGCGTGGGCCAAGAACATGCACCCCAGGAACTTCAGGCCCAACGTCATCCACTACTTCCTGCGCCTGCTCCACGACAGAGGGCTGCTGCGGCGGCTCTACACGCAGAACATCGACGGCCTGGAGAGCGGTGAGCCTCACAGCCCCGCCCCCGCCCTCCCCCCGCTGCCGCGGGCGCCCTGAGCCCGCTGGCGGGAGCCTGCAGCTTTGCTCCCCGGCAGGAGGACGAGGACTCCTCGTCTAGGGCGGCCTTGCAGAGGTTTCTGCGGCAGTGAGCCCTCGGGCCCTCGTCAGGCCCTCGCGTCACCTCTCTTGCTCCAGGTTATTTTGAGGCAAACCCGTCACGTTAGAACGTTAACCTAAAAGTAAACACCAAAAACACCCAGAACATGTCTAACCTGTAACCCGTCTTGGGTATCTGCGGAACTTTGAAAACCTAACTGCGCTGTCGCCACACACATCACTGGTCGCTCCGTCCCGCCGTCAGACTCCGGGAGGGACGGGCGATCTCTGGGCCGAGACTGCGCAGTGGCCACGGGCAGCGAGCCCAGCGGTTGTGCCCGCCCCCACCGTCCAGGGCCTCAGTGCCGAGTGTGCTTTCACTTGCAGCCTCGGGCATCCCCGGCTCCAAGCTGGTCGAAGCTCACGGGTCCTTTGCCTCTGCCACCTGCACCTGCTGCGGAAAAGCCTCCCCGGAGCAGGACTTCTGGGTGAGCTGCCCTGCGGGTGGGCCCCCCGCCCGCGCTCGCGGCGGGACGGTCTGGGGATGCGGCGTTCTGTGAGCACTGTGTCCCAAAGGTGGAACGGTAATGGTGTGAAAGTGTTTTTCTTTGTTTCAAAATCAGAAATGTGATCCGTGCTTGTGAAAAACCAAGGCAGTACGGACACGCGCAGGAAAGGTGGACCTCCCCCCAACGCTCTGTAGCAGTTTGGTGTGCCACGCTGGTGCCTGTACACACACAGACACACGTGCACCTCCCGCCCCACGCAGGCCCCGTGTGTTTTCCGTGGTGGGACCGTGGAGCTTCAAGTTCTGCCGCTTTGTCGCTGAGCAGAATCCCACGGGGGTCTTCCCGGCGGGGCAGGTCCGCTCCCGGGCGCAGCGCCTGCGGAGCTCTCGTGGGGCGTCTGCTGCCGACCACGCAGCAGCGAGGCCGCTGCTCCCTGCCGGGGGCTCCGGGGGGGCTTCCTGTGGGCGGGTCCTGCAGGTGCAGGGGGGCAGAGCGGTGAGAACTCCTGGGAGATGGAAACGAAACGTGGCCCGGGGCCCTCTTCACGTCTGCCGGGGGGACGCACGCGGCGCGGAGCTGGCCGTGGAGCAGCGTGCGAGTCATCAGCGTGTCGCGGGGCCCGGGCTGTGTGGCCGCCTCTGTCTAGTTGGGGGTCCTGTCAGGGAGCCCGGACCACGCACCAGTGAGCCCCGTTCCCGCCCTCCCTGCCCCTCCGGTCCCTTTGTCGGAGTGTCACAGAGTTAGAGTCACAGTGCATGTCCCTCTCCAAATTTGGGGGGGCTCTGTGAGACAAAACTGGCAAAGTGTCACGTTGAAGTTGGGTTTATTACATACGGGGGACCCCCAAAGCTGGAATTTGTTTACAAGAAAATGTGCGTGTGTTCCTACGCTTGACTGTCAGTCGCCGTCCACGTCCTCTGCGTTCGGTGCGGAACGCCCACGGAGACGTTTCCTCCACGGCTCAGAGCAGCGGTTTGATGCCTTTTAGTGCTTCCGCCCTTTTCGGTTTCACCTTTTCCACCTCTGGAAAGCATTTCCTTATGAACCAAAAAAATCGTCACTCAGGGTGAGATTGGGTGACTAGGAGGGAAGGTCATGGGGGTCATGCTCTTTTTGGTCAAAAACTGCTGAGCACTCAGCGGGGTGTGGGCAGGTGAGCTCGTAAATCACCCGTATGAAATGGGCAAAGGTGTTGAAAGAGTCTTCAAAAAAATTCACCAAAGCCAAACGCAGCCTCTCACAACAACACCAGCTAGTGCACTGACGCAGGTGGGTTCCTAGAGCTCTCACCTAGCGGGGGAGCCTGGACTACAGGGGGCCCACACTCCAGACGGTAATTCCAGGTTTTGGGGGATCCCCTTTGTACATGGAGGTTAATTATACTACTCAGCTAACGTGTTAGAAACTTTCTTAAGTTGTTTCTCCTTTTTCTTTTGTGTTGCATTAACTCCTCGAGCCCATTTCCTGCATGTCTCCCAGGCCGCTGTGATGGCGGACAGAGTCCCCCGCTGCGCGGTCTGCGCGGGCTTGGTGAAGCCCGACATCGTGTTCTTCGGGGAGACGCTGCCCGAGAGGTTCTTCCTGCACGTGGTGGACTTCCCCGCCGCGGAGCTGCTGCTGGTCCTCGGGACCTCGCTGAAGGTGTGTCCGCGGGCGGGGGGCAGTGGGGGGAGAGTGAGGGGCGGGGGGTGGGGCAGCTGGGGAGCTCCCCGGGGCCCACCTTCGGAAGGTGGTTGGATTCAACCAGTGAGGAGGCAGGTGTCCAGGCCTCGGGGGCAGCAGAATGGGAGGGGGCGCCGGGCTCTGGAAGTGCAGTGAGCGTGCGGGGGTGGGGGACACAGAGGGCAGGTGGGGGCGGGGGGGGGGGAGGCAGAGGCAGGCTTCCTGGGTCACTGGCCAGTTTTAGGCCAGCAGCAGCAACACACTCAGAGGGCTTGGACCAGGGACCCTGGGGGCTGCGGTGGGCGTCCAGACAAGCAGACGTCTAGGGGCCGGTCCTGGGAAAGGCAGCGCTCTGGGTGCCCTCTGACCCCGTGAGCGCCAGAGGGGCCGAGGACAGCGACCGCTGGTCGTTTTGAGGGCCAGAGACCGGGTACTTGGGCCGGGTGCCCAGGGGCCCAGAGCGTTCCTGGTGGCGAGGGGTGTGGAGGGAGGGTGCTGAGCCCAGCTCTGCCCCTGTGTGTGTGAGGAGCTGGGGGGCTCGCCGCTGGGTGTGTGGAGGAAGTGTCGCTGTCTGGGGCCGTTGCTCAGGAGGTTCGTAGAGGACGTGAGGACAGCAAACAAGGCGGCCCCAACCCTGGGCCTGGCTGGCTGGAGGCACCAGGGTTGATGGGCCGGAAAGACTGGTGCCCGCAGCCCAGCAGGCCATGCTCCGTGGGGGGAGGTGGCATGTGGCACAGAGAGTCTGGGGGGGCTGGGCTGGGCTGGGAGCTGGAGGAGGTGTGGGTGTGAGGGAGAGGCATGGTGGGGATAGTGCCCAGGGGCCCGTGGTCACGTGCCGCAGTGCCAGACAGCATCAGTGACGGCGGACCAACCTCTGTCCCTCTGGGTGCTGTGTCCTGAACAGACCACGGGGCCAGCGTGGAGCAGGCGGCAACCGGGGGGCGGGGGGGGTGGCGTGCAGCCGTGTGTGTGCAGTGGGGCAGCGGGACAGGGCGGCTCCCGTGGGGTCCAGGGCTGTGGCCTGAGCGGCTGCTCCATCCTGACAGCTGATTTTCTGAGACAAGAGGCCTGTTGGGGGAGTTGGGGAACAGGTCCTGCCGATCGGAGAAGCGTGTGGGGCAGGCAGGAAGGGCCGGAGGTAGGAGTGGGGGTGCCAGAGTGAGGACAGAGTGGGGTGCCCACGCTGGGCCTGGGGTGAGGCGCGGCTGTAGCAGGGCAGGCGGGGGCCTGGGGCCCCAGTGCTGGTGCTGGGCCTGCCCGACCTGTGCCAGCCACCAGGTGTGGACACTGGGACTGCCAGCCCGCTCTCTATTTTTAAAAAGATTTTATTTACTCATTTTTAGAGAGAGGGGAAGGGAGGGAGAAAGAGAAGGAGAAAAACATCAGTGTGTGGTTGCCTCTCGCGCACCCCCTACTGGGGACCTCGCCCGAAACCCAGGCAGGTGCCCCAAGCAGGAATCCACCAGCAATATGACTCTTTGGTTTGCAGGCCGGCACTCAGTCCACGGAGCCTCGCCAGCCAGGGTCCTACCCTTTTCTGTAGAGAAGCAGGTGACGGTGTCCCATATCAGATCCGTCCTGTCTGACTTCAGTAGTCACGCCTGCAAAGTCTTTTCCTACTATTGCTTGGAAACCCAAAATTTCCTTCAAGAGATGTTTTGCTAACACTTAAATCTTTAAGTCATTTTAAACTATTACAACGAAAGGCAGGAATGGAGCTACTTCCTCCCAGGGAGTGAGCAGGTCATCAGCCTGGCTGTGTCTCACTCTGTGGAGTTCTCCGACGACCTTGACCGTGCAAGGTGCTGGCAGCTGGCGGGGCCCAGAGTGGCGGTGGACTGGGGCCCCTGCGGCCAGGGGCGCATCAGCAGCCTCGTTGGGGAGGACGTAGGTCACTGGCCGTTAGAGAAACGTCAGCTCTCACACCCACACTCACACACAGGAGTGAGGACGGGGGACGAGAGGGGTCTCGGGTCAGGGTGTGCTGGGGGGTGTGGCCCGGTGCAGGGGGGGGATGGGGAGACTGCGATTGCTGGAACTGAGCCTGGAGTGGATGCGGAGGCCACGTGGGGGAGGGTGCTGCGGGGAGGAAGCCGAGCGGGTGGTGGGCTCTCTACCCCTGAGGCCCCGCGTGACTCCCCTGGGGGCGCGGGTGGCGGGACGAGGCCCCTCACGTGTGGGCAGTTTTCCAGGTGGAGCCTTTCGCCAGCCTGTCCGAGGCCGTGCGGAGCTCAGTGCCCCGAGTGCTCATGAACGGGGAGGCGGTGGAGTCCTGGCGCCCCCGGAGCAGGGATGTGGTGCAGCTCGGGGACCTGGTGGACAGCGTGGAACGGCTGGTGGAGCTGCTGGGCTGGACGGAAGAGATGCGGGACCTGGTCCAGCGGGAGACGGCGAAGGTAGGCTGCAGAGCCGGTCCTCCAAGGGCTGGGGCCTCCCGCTGCTGCGGAGCCCTGTTTGGGCTGAGGCGGGAGCAGCCGTGCTGACTGGCTGTCAGCCCCAAGGGGCGGCCGCCGGGGCGTCCGCGCTCCTGGATTGGGCGTGCCGGTCCTTGCTGCCTCCGTTCAGGGACGAAGAAACCCACTGAGTGCTGGCTTGCGAGTGTGGAGTGGGGTGCAGCTCCTGTTCTTCTGGGCCCTTGGGGGTCTGCGGTTGCTTTTGTTCCCGAGACAGAACAGCACCGGCCGCTGCCGGCGAAGGCAGGATTCTGAGGGGACTGGGCCGGAGCCGGAGGCTAAGGCCCTCTGTGCATGTGCGGACGGGAGCCCCGCAGCGGGGGAGCGGGCGCGAGGTTCAAGGCCCACAGACAGAGTGGTTCCCCAGGGGACTCAGCGGTGTGGGGGGCTTCCTGCCGGAGGGGCAGCTGGCAGCGGGAGTCCAGCCGTCTCGGGACGGCACGCGGCAGGTGGGGACAGCAGGTGGGACAGCTGCGCCGGCAGGGTTCGCCACGGGTGCTGGTCCGGCCCCCGGGGCCCCAGCCAACAGCTGCGACTGCCCCTTCCGCCGCCACAAGCCCCCACCCTGGCCGCAGCCTCACCTGCCCAGTGGGGCCGGAGGGAAGGCGAGGCTGAGCTGGCGTGCTTCCACCCGCCGCATGTCCCCCACCCCCAGGCCTGCCCTTCCGGCGGGGTCTGGGGCCCAGACGGTGCGTGGCGCTGCTTCTCTTCCGTGGAGGGAAGTCGAGGCCGCGTCCAGGCCACGTTGCGGTCACTTCGCGGAAGTGGAGAGTCAGCCCGAGGCACCCAGGGCACCCTGGGAGCAGAGGCAGCGGGTGCCCCGCCCCGAAGCCTTTTCTGGGCTCCACCTCCTTCCGTCCTCAGCAAGGTCAAGTCCAGTGGCCCCTGAGGATTTTTGGAGGATTCTAGTCCTGTAAGATTCGGCTGGTGGCAGAAGTTCGGTAGTTCCTAGTTCCCCAGTTTACATAAATCAGGTTGCGGTTGTCGGGGTTAGTCAGGTAGGGGTTGCTCTGGGCGAGTAAATGCCGGGGCACGCCCTGACGGGCTGCTCAGAGGAGCCCGGCCGTCCGTGGGGCACCCAGCCGGCCCCGCCCCGCCGGCCCCGCAGCCGCTCTGCGGACAGAGCAGCGGCGGTGCGTGAAGTGGTGAGGACTGCGCCCAGGCCCCGAGACCTGTCTGCTTGCCCAGGTGCTTCCAGGTAACTGGCCCCCTCTCTCCGTGCTCCAGCTCAGCAGACCGGACAGATAGAGGGGCGGCCACCTGGAGTCGCCGCCCACTTCTGAACAGACCTCACGCCTGAGGAGCAGCCTGGGCAGGTCTGCCAACTCCGGCTAAGCCAGGGCGCAGGGCTGCCGCAGGCTCACTGTGCACCGCCCTCTCGGCTCTCTTCCCTCTGCTGGGCGCTCGGTGCCGACGGCTTGTCTGGACCGTGGCCCTGGTGTGCGGACCGCGCCCACTCACTCACTGGGCCCCGGGCTGCACCGAGGGGCAGGCTGGGCCCCGCCGTGGGACCCCCCAGGCCGAGTGGGCTGGGTCCCGGGGGCTGCCCCGGGCTCCGGGGTGCCCCTTTCCCCAGCAGGGCCACTCCAGTCTGTCCTTCACCACTCCAGTCTGTCCTGCGCCACCGAAGTGACCTTTGCTGTGGGAGTGGGGCGCCCCTCACAGGGGATGTGGGTGCTGACAGCTGCGGAAAGGGCACCCCGGGGTGCGGGGACAGGTGTCCCTGACTCCCCCTCACGGAACATCCCCACATCCCGTGTGCCTGACGCTTTCCTTTGACATTTGCCCCCCCACACCTGCTCCAGGCCCTCCCCACCAGGCCTGCCAGGAGCACAGCTCGGAGGGACCCCCAGGGTGTGGGCGGCCCAGGGCTGCCGGGCCCGCGGTGGGCTGGCTCACTGCTCCCTCTGCGGGGGCACTCCCCCAGCCACCCTGAGCCTGGGCTCCCACCTTCCAAGGCCAAGACCCCGGTGGGGAGCTCTCTGGGCATCGCGGGCAGGGCCTCAGACAGCTCTGGGGGTCTCGCTCCTCAAAAGGGGGGACACGAGCGGTGACAGGGAGCAAGCTGGGCAGTGCGAGGACAGGCCGGGCTGGCCAGTCCGGCGTCTGCCGTGAGCCGAGACACGCTCTCCACTCTCACCAGTAGCTTTATTGACTCGGACGTGCTGAGTCTGCGGGCCGGCTCTCACTGCGGGCTTCTCGTGGGCGGGGCCCAGGGGCGCTGCTGGACACCCACCCCGGCCCAGGACGGCCCCCAGCACAAGCACAGAACGATGTGACCCATGTCGGCAGCACCAGGAGACTCTGAAACCAGTTTGGACACGTCCGACCAGGCACAGCACCTTCTCCCTGCAAACCCTCTGTTTCAGCTGTGTTTTTACCTTTCTTGAAATAGTAAAGCACGATGCGACAAAAATGCCACGTGTTGTCTTCGTCTTCATGTTAAAGCGGCTGCACGGAATTCCGCCCATTTTGGCGAGTTGTTTTCTGGTGCGCTCTAACAACGGGTCACGACCACCAAGCACTGCCGGGGTCACGCACGGCAGCACTGCGCGGACTCTGGCCAGCCCAGTGCTCGCACTGAGGGCGCCCCGCTGTGCGTCCGACACACACCTTCTCTCACACGCCCGTTCTCCCGAGACGCTCACAGGGCAATGCCTCTGCGGTGCTCTGGGGCACACGGCAGAAACGCAGATGCGGCCTGACCTGCAGTGTTTTCCTTCTGTATTTACGGCCCACGCCAGCGGGGAAGACCGAGGGGCTGGGGGCGGGGGGGGGGTGGGGGGGCCTCAGGGCTGGGGACAGCGCAGCAGGCGGCTGAGCCAGGACCAGGAAGGCAGACGAAGCCGGGGAGCCGTGCCCGGTGGGCAGACGGCGCACCCCGGCCAGTGCGCCTTCCGTCGGCACCTGGGTCCCAGCAGGGTCTCCCCCTCGGCGGTGCAGCCCCTGCCGGTCCCTGGCCCTCGGCCAGCAAGCGGCCCGGCCTCCAGCTCACGGGAGAAAGCACTTGCCGGGAGGCAATCAGGTGGGCTTCCAGCGTGCCGACGGCACGACCCCTTCCCGGTCCTGGAGGCGGGTTAGGGACAGAACTTGGGGAGCAAGGGGAAGGGGACCCCGAGGACATCTCTGGAAGCAGCACCGGTTCGGACGGGGCGCAGGGCGGCCGTCTTCAGTCGGGGTCTGAGTCGGGGTCCGAGGAGAGCTGGCCCTCCATGCTCTCGCACACGGCGTCCTGCAGGGAGGTGAGGTGGCCCCGGGGACTCACCCCCAGGGGCTGGATGACTCGGTGCCTGCGAGCAGAGGGGCGGCGGGTGGGCGTCCTGCTCCCCACCGCCCCCTCTGGCTTCCCAGGCTGCTCCCGCTCTGGGTGCCAGCCAGGCTGCACCCTAAGTGCCATGGTGCCCAGGGCTCCGACGCCTCAGGCGGCCGCTCCGTTCTCCTGGGGCTCTGTTCCCCAAAGGACAGGGTGCCGGTCTCAGCCCAGCTCTAGCCCGGGGGGTCCGTCCAGAGCAGGTGTGCCACTGGACTCCCGGACCCCCGCCCCCTCTGACCCCGCCTCCCGGGTCTCACAGGACAGGGCGGGCCGCGCACCTGGAGAGCTTGTCGAACATGTTCACCAGCTTCATGGCCTCGTGCTCCTTCTGCTCCTCCGTCATGCCCTCCATGGGGTTGGGCAGCTTCTCCTCCACCCTCCCGGTCACCGGGTTTATGCTGCTTCCCGAGGGGGGGCATGGGGAGGGCGTTAGTCTGGGCTGGGGGGCTGGGGGGCAGGCGAGGTGACTTCGGGAAGAGACCCACCTCCTGCGGCAGGGGTCTCGTCCCCCAGCCCGCCCGGCCCCTCAGCCTGTTCTCCGCGGGGCCTCCTGCCGTCAGGACCGTATCCCGCGGGGACAGTGCCAGGCTCCGAGAGGCCTCACCCACGGGTCCCACTGCCCACCCGCTGCGGGCCCAGGTGGCCCAGGGAGCCCAAGCTCCCTGGAGCCCAAGGGTGCGGGCACATACCTGGCCTTGGCCTCCTTGTACTCCTCAGTGTCTGTGTCCTCGTCCTCCGAGTACTGGCCCTCGGGCCGGCCCCCCGCCAGGAGGCCCCGGGCAGCCAGCAGGCCGGCCGCGTTCCCGTAGCCCGTGTACTTGATGAAGCGCGGCACTGAGGGCAAGGCAGAGGTCAGCGCGCGCCGGGGCCGGGGCCGGGGCCGGGCGCACGGCCGCCCCACACTCACCGCTCTCGGAGCACAGGACGAACAGGAACTCGGCCGCCACCCTCTTCACGTCCGTGTCCAGGTGCGTCATGAGGCGGACGAGCTTGTTGCGCAGCTGCTCCCCCACCTCGGGCCGGGTCTTCACGTCCCTCAGCGGAGGCAGCACCTGCGGGCAGCCGCCCGTCAGCCTGGGTCTGCAGCAGCTGGGGCGGCCGGGCCCCCCACCCCCGGCCCCGCGGCCGCACCTGGGCCTTCAGGAATTTCCTGGCGGGGCGGTGCATGCGGGCACACTCGGTCAGCACGCTCAGCACCGGGGCCACGCTCTCCTTCAGCCTGTGCGTCTGCGGAGGAGCCTGTGTCAGCGCGGGGGCGGCACGCGCCCGCCGCGCGGTCCCGGCAGGCGGCCCAGAGAAGGGACCCCGCCGGGGGCTGGGAGCGGGCAGTGGGTGTCCGCTTCGCGAGGGACCGGGGTGGACCCTAACTCCGGAAGCCCGCTGCCTGCCTGTGTCTCCACTGCTCTGACTTCCTCCCCCACCGGCTGGGGCTGTGGGGAAGGGCAGCGAGTGGAGTTGGGAGCCACTGGCAAGCAAGTCGCCCTCAGAAAACAGTGGCCTAAAAAATCAAGAACAAAATGCCTACTCTGTGCGTTTCACGGACGCACAGCAGGGAGCTCCTGTTCCTGTCCCTGCCCCTTGGATACCAGTAACGGCAGGACAGACGATCACGGCTAGCGTGCACAATGCCAGGCCCGTGTGACCCAGCTCATGGGGAACCTCGCTGTGGCTGCACAGCCCCCAAACGTCCACAAGCTCCCAGAGGGGCCGCTTGGGGTCGGCCAGTGCCCTCCGGTGCAGGGACAGGCCTACCGGGGGCCTCCAGCTGGAGGACCGCTGATGCTGCCCCCCAAGGGATGCCTGCGCACCACGACACTAAGAGGCTGGGGTCACAAGCAGGGACTGGGGGCCTCTCAGGACCACTCAAGAGGGACCTACAAGCAGGTCTCGGAAACAAGGACTTTGCTAGATTCTACAAACTCGACTCCAGACTCGAAACCTTTGAGTGTGTGTGGGCGGGTCTGCCTGCGTCTCAGGGAGGCGTCTGCTTTCCTGCCCGCTGGACTGAGAGCGGCTGGGAGACCTGCCGGGGCTCACCACTGCGGAGCGACCTCCCCGCATCCTGGGGACTTGGCCAGAGCAGGGGCCACAGCTGCTTGGGAAAGCCAGAGCCCCTGGGAAGCCCACCGCGGGCGCCCCTGCCCACCTGGTGCAGACGCTTCTCCAGGAAGCTGAGGAGGGCGCTGACCGCATCCATGTTCACTCCCAGGAACTGCACGGAGCCCTTGTGCGGCTCCAGGCTCAGGAGCACGTCCAGACACTTGAGGGGCAAGTTCCCCAGGAGGTTCACTGTGTGGCTGGGGACAGGTGTGGATGGGGCATGGCTAAGTCCGGGACCCTAGTGCAGCACAGTCCTTGGTGCATCCGGCCGGGGCTACACCACAGGATGTGAGCCAGCGTCTGCCTCTGGAGCAGAGGGGGCACCACCCAGGGGTACACTCAGTGGGGTGGGTGCCCCAGGAGGGCACTGTCTGTGGATGCCCCACCTGCCACCCTGTGTCTGGACCTACACATCACAGGCCATCTCCGGACACCCAGGACCCGCCCAAGCACAGGTCACCGAGGATGGGGGCGAGTGCCCTGCAGACGCCACTCCGCCCACTGCCACTGCCCAAGGTCAGGGGCACATTCCCGCCCCCGCCCCATGGCTCTGGTCCAGAATGCACTGTGAGTGCCAGGGCCCTTGGGGACTCGGGGAATACACTGACATCTAGTCCCACCCAGGTGGACGAAGTCCCTCTAGGGTGGAGCCCGGTTCCCCATCTAGACAGGGGAGCGCACCCCCTCCAGCACAATGGGCCCCACCTCACCCATGGAACTCCTCCGTGCGGTCTCCAGCAGCGGTGACCATCACACAGTGCCGCAGGAGGGTCCCCAGGCGCCGGTAAAGGGCAGCATCTTCCTGACCGAAGAGAAAGGGGCTCCTGTGACAGGGCCACACCGGTCCCCCCTGCTGCCAGTGGAGGCTGCCCGCCTACACCAGGACCCCGTGTGCCGACCACATCTGCTCCAGCGTACGCTGCACCCCATCGACAGTGGCGGTGGGCCCCTGGACGTCACGCGGTGGGTGTTCTGGCCCCACACTCAGTCTCTCCCCACACCGCGCCCCCTCCCCTAGAAACCTGCCCCCTTGCCTCCCAACCGGCTGAGGTCTCCCCCTGCCCTGTCTGCGTCTGACACCCACACACTTCACAGTCAGCGAGGCAAGTCCAGGAAATGTCCAGCCTGTTAAGCACAAGCACCAGCAATGGGTTCAGGCCAGCCCTCACCTCGTCCACCTCCCTCTTGACGGAGTCGAAAGTGATGTTGAAGAGAACCTTGAGGATCTCCATGGCCCGCTCGGTCTCCTGGGATGGGAGGAGCTCCAGGGGGCTCTGTCCTGGGGCCACTGCCAGCGTCTGCTGCAGCGCGCCAGTCAGCAGGTGCACGCCCTGCAGCTCCTGGAACAGCTGCTGGCGCACGTCCGTGCGAAGCGCCGTAAGCAGGAACAGCAGGCGCAAGTCGAAGAGCTGGACCTCGTGCGGGAAGCTGCCCTGGTAGTGCAGCCCCACGCGCTCTGCCAGCCTCACCACCAGGCGGGCCTCCGCAGCCAGCGCCTGTGCCCTGGGGCTGCTGAGCACGACATTGCATAGGCACTTGAGGGACTCGAGTACCACGTCCATGTCCAGGGGCTCAGGGACTGACCCCCTGGCAGCAGAGATGCCGGCATAGCAAGCAAGGGCCTGCAGGCTCTGGCGGCTGGTGAAGGGGTCCAGGCAGCCGCGGTCCCTGGACAGGATGCGGATGCTCTGCAGCCAGGTGACGCGGCGGGAGGGCGGCAAACCCTGCTCCAGGAACGAAACCAGCAGCTCCGCCAGTCTCTGTGGGTAGAGAAGGGCGGCTCCACCAGGCCCCTCTACCAAGAGCCACCCGTCCCTGACCCTTGGCCCCTCGGTCGGCACCCACCTTCCTGTCCTCCTGTTGGGCAGCATCAAACGTGAAGCTCTGGGAGTTCTGTGGGGAGACCCAGAGGCTCAGAGAGCACAGGCCGCAGGCACCGCTCTGAACAGGCAGAGCCCCACCCTCCACACCTGCCTCCAGGTACGCACCCCACCCGCTCCCCAGCAACTCCTCGCAGCCTCGGTGCCCCGCCCTGCCGCGCGTCCTCCCTCCGTCCCACTCCCGCACCTCCGCGGGCACACGCAAGCCCCACCCTGCTCCCTCCGCCTGGAGCGTCCCATCTTCACGGTGCCGCTCACCTCCCGGTTGTACGCGCGCAGAGCCTCCACGATCATGTCCTCCTCTCCCGTCTCCACGGCATCTGCAACCGCTCGGGGTTCCATGGCGCCCCCGGAACCCGGCGCCGAGGGGGCGGGAGGGCTTCGCGGCTCGGTTCCGGGCCGGAGTCCACCCGCCCGCCCTGGCTCTGCGCGCGGGAGAGGCCGGGACCGGCGTGCGCGGCGCCGCGGGGCGGGGCCTGGCTGCGCGCCTTGGAGTCAGAGCAGGGAGCGCGCGCGCCTTCAGGTGGCTGCCTCACCCCGGGGATTCGAGACCGATCTCGGGGCCCGAGTCGCCCTTGAACTGAACAGTGACCCCTTCAGCGCTTCTTGGGCCGGACCCGGGGGTGGGGAATGAGGTTTTGAGAGGGGATCCCGACTCGGCTTCATGGTGGGCTGCAAAGGGATCTGCCAAGGGCAGTTTCGCCGACACCAGACAATAAGAAATGAGCCAGGAAAAGGATGTGGGGGAAAGTCACCGAAGGCAGGACGAACAGCCCGTGGACAGGTGGAATTGGCCTAGTGGGAGAAAGGGGAGTGTGGGGAGAGATCAGGACAGAGGCAGAGCCTGGTCACGTGCGGAGCGCTCTAGCCGTGCACCCCAGGTACACTGTCTGGCCCACCCAGTTTACTCTTTTGAAAGACGGCGCCGATAAAGATTCCCATTTCGATGGGCGGTTGGGAGGAGTCATGACACGCAGCGAACGCTCCGCTGCGGCGGGAGGTGGGGTAACTTATGCAACAAGCGTTTGTCGAGCGACTGTGTGGTGCCGAGGCGAGGAGCGCCGGCTCCGAGCGGCCCCGCGCCTCCCCTCCCACCAGGGCGCTTCGCGCCTGCGCGCGTCTCTGGCCGCGCCTACCTCCACTCTGTCCGGCCGGGGAAGGGCCCGACGCAGCCAGCGCCAGTCAGCCCGGTCCCCGGCGCGGACAACAGTGACCCCCGAGCGCCGGGAGCGCACAGGCAGTCCCTGTCTACGGGGTCCTTTCGGTGCCCGCCCCGCACCCCAGCCCGACCACAGCCGGAAGTCGACGGCCCGAGGCGGAAGGGGCGTCGCCGGAAGCCCCTTCGCGGGACGCTGCCACGTCGCGGGAGGTTGCGGTGGATCCGGGGCCGGGGGGGAAGGGGCCGGCACCATGGCAGATTGGTCTCGGGGTGAGCGCAGGAGAGCGGGGCCGGGGGGTGCGGGGCCGGCCCACACCCATGCCGCTGTCCGCAGGAGCCCGTCCTGGGTGGCCCCGTCGGAGCCCCTGGGTGGCAGACCGGGCCGGACGGCCGGACCGCCGCAGGGTCCCGACGCCCCGAGGCCGCCTCCACCCCCTGCGAGGCCGCCCTTCCCTGGGCCCCACGTCCCCGGCCCGCACGTCCCCGAGGCGGCGTGGAGGGAGGGCCTCCGCAGGGCTCATAGAGCAGGGGCCCTGGGATCCCCGCTCTCCTGAGAGCCCCTGTTCTCACCTGCGGAGCGGGGCGCCGATGCCGGTCTCACGGAGCGATCCTTAGCGTCAGGAGTTGGTGAACGTGAAGTGGCCGCGGGGTCTGTAGGCGTCAGTGACGCCCCCGGAACCGGGTCTCACTGAGGCATCCGGTTCTCCGCCACTGGGGGGCCGTGGTTTCCACTCACCTGGTGTGGCAGGGATTCCGAGTGACCTGGCTCAGCCCTGTCGTCTCGCATCCCAGCCGGCCCCGCCTGGGGGGTGGGGCGTAAGCCCCCTTCTGTCGTTGGGGAGCGGCGTTTCCTCCCAGGTTGCTTGTCCCTGCTTCGGACTCAGTGTGCAGGTGGTCGCTGCCTGCTGTCCTCTGGGTGCCCTTCCCAAGTCTCCCCTAGTCCACACCAGCCTGTTCCGCTTACCTCTGAGAACACGTCCCAAGCGCACCGGTGTGTGGAGGTACAGTGCGGAGCTGTGCCAGAGCTCCTGAAAGTGCCAGCGGGACTGAACTGTGGGGGGCTGTACCCGTGGGGGTTCCTGCCTGTCCCGGCCTGGGCGTGGACACACGCAGCCCGCCCACGCGTGTGAAGTTGGCACCGGACCCTGGGTGCCCCAGACACCAGGCCTGGCCAGGTGGGACTGTGGTCAGAGCCCTGAGGCCACCAAGGGCTGCCTGCGGGGGTCGAGGGCTCGTGGGCGGACCTGCCCCTCAGCCTCTCTCCCCCTGCAGCTCAGAGCTCCGGTGCCGTGGAGGAGATGCTAGACCGGGAGAACCTGCGCATGGCCGACAGCCTGGCCTCCAAGGTCACCAGGCTCAAAGCGGTCAGTAGTGGCCCACTGTGGCCTCCAGCTGGCGCCCTGCAGTGGGACCGAGGGGGCGGAGGCCTGGAAGGGTTTCCTGTACCTCCCATCCCCCGTGTGCAGCCCGGGTGGCCCTGGGCCTGACCCCTGGCGGTGTGACCGGCAGAGCTGTTGGCAGGGTCTGCCGTTCTTGGGGGTCAGGTGCCCTCGAGTGTGGCCCTGGCCCGACCCTGCCCCCTCTGTGTCCCGACCAGCTGGCCCTGGACATCGACAGGGATGCGGAGGACCAGAACCGGTACCTGGATGGCATGGTAAGGTCTGCAGCAGGCAGGGGCCTCCATCGGCGCTGCCCTCCGCCCGCTGCCAGGCCCCGGCGTGGGTGTGGAGGTGCCGCCCGGGGTGACCGAGCTCGGTTCCTCCCCCAGGACTCGGACTTCGCCAGCGTGACGGGCCTGCTCACGGGGAGCGTGAAGCGCTTCTCCACGATGGCACGGTCCGGGCGAGACAACCGGAAGTTGCTGTGTGGTGTGGCCGTGGGCCTGATCGTGGTCTTCTTCATCCTCTCCTACTTCCTGTCGAGGGCAAGGACGTGAGCTGGGGGAGCTGGCCTCCGTGGGTGCCCGGGGCAACCAGAGCCTTCCCCCGCCTGGTGTCCAGGGCTCCAGTGGACCTCCTGCAAAAGACTCCCTTGAGATGGTGGCTGTGGTCTAGGAATCTTCCTGTGTGGCGTGAGGCCCCGCTGTGAGGCCCCGCTGAGCCGGAGCCCTGTGGGCCAGCGCCCACATCTGAGCGGAGCGGCTGGGAGTCCTGGACGTGGCCACCTGTGGACAGCCCTTCCCCGGTCCTGCGGCCTCTGACATCGCAGGGCTCCTGTGCCCTGAGTCCCGGCCCAGGGGCGGCGGTTGCTCTGGGCCGGGTGTGTGTGGGCGGACCCTCGCTGAGGGCCCCCCACTTGCCCCGCCTGCCTTCCCGCCCCACGTCCGGAGCCAGCCGGTGTGCGAGGGTGCGGATGGAGCCGTGGACTGGTTCCGGCTGGAGGCCCTGCGCCCCGTCCTTTTGGATTCTGCGGCCGTATATCCCAGGGCGGGGACCCACGCCTTCTCAGGGTGAGGATCCTCCCAAAGACGCGTCCCTGAGGCCAGGTCGCCGGGAAACGAGGCTCTGGGGGCTCAGCTGAGCGTCCAGGTCACGGGGGCTTGTGGGTCTCGACAGGACCCCCTTGGTAGGACCCACGGGTCACTTCTTGAGAGTCACCGGGCTGTTTCTTCTGTACCAAGCCAAGCTGTGCCTCCCTCAGGGAGCCTCCCCTTGCTGTGAGGGGGCCCTGGGCCAGCCCCTCACCCCACCTTTCACAGACTCTCCTCCCTGGCCACCCGTCCTCCGGCCCTGGCTGCCCACTTGGCCAGCTGCACGTACCACCAACCAGACCCCAGGCCCGGCCAGGCCAGCGGCTTCCCCCCCAGTGAGGCCCCAGCGCCCTTGCCTTCACGTGGAGACTGGTGATGGGTTCGGCGTCCTTCCCTGTCCTCATGCCCATGCTCTGCCTTCCTGGTCATCCCCCCCATACTGCCTGGGGACGGGGGCCCCCCGCCCGCCCTCCTGTGTGGTCCCATCCACGGGCCTGTTGGCTCCTGCCTTCCCGCTGCTCCTCCCGGCAGGCCTGGCATGGTCACCACCTGGCACGGTGTCCTCTCTTTGGCACACATGGACGGGCCCCTCCGGCTCGGGGCTCTGCCTTGTCAGCCCCACCGTCCGGCACAGGCTCGCTTGCCACCGAGGCTGCCGGCCTGCCTCTGTCTCGGTCTGCCTCCCCTTGACGGTGCAGCCCCGGGTGCTGCCCTGTACGCTGGCAGCCCTGGGCACCTCCGCTTTGGCTCAGCGCCCCCGCACCCCCTGGCTCATCTCAAGTGCATGGGGACTTGTCCACAGTTTACCAAGCGGCACAGCGGCTGCCCACACGTCTCCCCACTGCAGTCTGCTCCCTGCAGACACCGGAACCCGAGCGCCTGCCCCCGACCCCTCTGTGGGCCTGTGGTGCCAGCCGCACACCCTGGGAGCAAGCCCTGGCCGGCACCAGGTCACCACCGAGGGTGGCTGTGCCCCCCCGCCGCCGGTGCACACCAGGAGTGCGGGTTCTGTGCCCACTGTGCCCTTGGGTCGCTGCTCTCTCCTTGCAGCTTCTGTTCGTTTGGGAGCCTGGGGGTCAGCTCCTTTCTGTCTTGCTTGTTTCTCGCTCTCACTGTGTTGGGGGGGGTTGGCTACTCAGCCAGATCGGGGTGTCCTGTGGGCTGTGCCCTCCTCACTCAGCGCTGTGCACGCAGTGCTTGGTCCTGGGCACTTGGTCCTGGGGGCGGGAGGGGTTTGTTGACACTGGTCCCCAAGGCCAGTCTGTGTCAGATGGCCAGGCCCTGTCCCGTAATTTGATGACAAAACATTGAACCATAAAAATTTGAAATAAACAGCCCTGGCTAGTGTGGCTCAGTGGGTTGAGTGCTGGCTTACAAACCAAAGAGTCACAGGTTAGATTCCCAGTCAGGGCACCTGCCTGGGTTGTGGGCCAGGTCCCAGTAGGGGGTGCGTGAGAGGCAACCACACATTGATGTTTCTCTCCCTCCCTTCTCTTCTCTAAAAAGTAATAAATAAGATCCTCTCCTCTCTAAAAAGTAATAAATAAGATCTTTTTTAAACATTTTGGAATAAACAGCTTCCTCATTTCTTTGGGGGCTGGAGAGGGTTTTGGGTGGTGCTGACCCTGGTCCATAGACACCAGAGGTGCCGACGGGTCTCGGCCTCTCCTGGGTCCCTGCACCTCCGGGCTCATGGCCTCAGGCAGCCTCCCCCGCACGTTTCTGCAGCTCAGACGGGCCAGGTGGGGGCCGACCGCCTCGTCCAGATTCCACGAAGAGCAAGCTGCGGGTCGCCCTGGGTGCTCTGTGTGGTGGCACCCGCAGGCACCTTCCCTGCCGGCGTCCTGCGCTTCCTGCCTCGTCTGTGGTGTGCCACCAATCACCTGGAAACCCGGTCACTTGAGTGGCAGCAGTGACTCCTGTCTCACTGTCACTGTGGTTGGGACTCAAGACGGGCTGGGGGCTGGCACCCGAAGGCTTGCTCGCTTGGCAGTGGGTGAGGGCTGGGGGCGAGCCGAGGGCCGGGGTGCCGCCCACAGCCCCACAAATGCTGCTGCTGCAGAAGGGGAGCGAGGTTTGGGGGGTCCAGGCAGAAGCTGCCTGCTCTGTGTGCTGCGTGGCATGGCCCCAGGGGACACCCCCTGTCACTTTGTTGAGGTCACAGGCTCCGGTGCAGAGTGGGGGGGAGGGGCACAGACCCTTCTCCCTGGGGGACTCCGTCCTGGAGGGAGCAGAGCACACGGGTGGGCGGGGGCAGGCCGCGGTGGCCGTCCGGAGTCTCTGAACTCACAGGGTGTGGCCCAAGGCCGAATCGGGAGGGCCAGCTGGGCGACCTCGCTCCGGAGCCCTCCCGGAAGACCTGACCCTCCCCGCAAGACAAGCCTGTTGCCAATGGAATCGTGATTTATTAAATGTGTGGGCACAGCAGGGAAGGAAATTAGCAAACAGAAAAGTAGCATAGAAAAAATGTCGCAAGTCTCCAGACGAGCGTGCTGGGCCCTGCAGGGCCAGGCGGCCGCCGCTCAGCGGGGCAGGGTCCGCGCCCACAGCCCAGGTCCGCAGCTGGGGGGCCGCGGGCAGGGCCGAGGGGCGGGGCTAGTCCGTCTGCACCAGCAGGGGCGTCATGTAGTCGGAGTGTTTGATGCCGAAGGTGATGATGGGGGCGCAGGGCTTGGTCAGGGTCACCTGGGGGAGGAGGGGCTGTGAGAGGGGCTGGCCCCCCGCCCGCACCCCACCCGAGAGAGGCTCTGCACTCTCAGGCTGGGCCTGCTGATGGCTGTCCTGTCCCCAAGAGGACCAGCGTGAAGGGGACACCGCCAAGTCTGAGCACAGGACCTGCTGTGTGGCAAGTGCTCAGTCGCATTCACGGTCTGGGGACAAGGAGCCTGCTCGCTGGGGGAGGGGCCGGGTGCCGCAAGTGCACCGGCAGGCCCCCGGGCCCCACCCCATCCTCTCACACTACACCCCCCCTCCCCCGCCTTTCAGACCTTCTCAGGGCTGTGGGCCCCTGGCCCTGGCTTGAGGGTCTTGTCCCCGGGGGGCTCCACGCGAGCAGCGATGGTGTACTGCGGAGCCTTCAGCTTGGTCACCTGCACGTCGGTCTGGTGGTAGGCTGCGGGGCCTGGGGTCTGGGGGGCCAGAGGGGCTCAGACAGTCTCTGCCTGCCCGGGCTTGTGGCCCCAGAGGGCAGCAGGCCCGTGCCGGACGTCGGGTCTCGGGCCCCAGGTCTCTGTGCGTCTGTGCCGGGGCCCCTCTGACTCCGGACAGCGCTCCCCGCGGGGTGAAGCCCCGGGGCTGGGGGCCCCCGTCTGTGTAGGGCGTCGTCCTCGGCGTCAGCCCCGCCGGGGCAGAGACACCCAGCGTGTGGCGGTCGGGCTCACCCTGCTGCGCGCGCGAGCGGCCCCTTTTCTGGGCCGGGGCGCTGTCCTGTGCAGCCAGACTGGAGAGGAGGGGACACCGGTGCAGCGGGGGCGTCCGCACAGGATGCTGCGCCCCCCCACCCCCGCCCCCGTCCCCAGCTCCCTTCGCCCCGTCCCGCCCCTCCCACCCCCGCACCTGCCCGCCCCGCCCCGCACCGCCTCGCACCGCCTCGCACCGCCCTTGCCTGGACGCGGGGCTCTGTGGACCCCTTCCCGGCTCAACCCTCCCCGGCTCTGGAGTGTGGCCGGCGCGGGGCAGGCCCCCGCAGATGGAGCGCTGAGGGCCTTGGGGGGGCAGGGGGGGCTGGAGAGTGCTGGGTCCTGGGGAGGGGGCCGCGAGGGCTAGTCTCAGGGACGCACTGCCCCCCACCACCGCCCCCCCCCCGCCCCGAGTGCCTTGCCTTGTGCAGGTCGTCGCTGAAGCCACCCAGCTTGCTGCGGCCCTTGAGGGAGAAGGAGGGCTGGGAGGCCTTGCCCACCGAGTGCGGCCCCATCACGGCGGGCAGCATGTACGCGGCGGGGCCTGCGGGGGCGCCAGCGCTGAGTCTCTCCTGCCCCGTGCACACCCCCACCCAGTCCGAAGGGCTGTCGGGGCCGCCGCAGACCTGGGGTGCTGTCCACGCGGAAGGTCCTGGTCCGGGCGGAAATGGAGTGGCTGGGCGCTGAGTCGAACACGTGCTTGGTAGATCTCTCCGGAAAGTAGTCGCCTGCAGGAGGGAAGCAGCAGAGGGGTGCTGGCAGGGCGGGGGCCATCGTGCACTCGCCTGGTTGGCGCAGGGGCCTCAAGGACGGCCCCGACATTGTGGGCACCCGGCCTCTGGGCCCTGCTCGGGCGGTGAGGGCGGTGACAGTGAGGGGTCGGGGGTTTCGGGAGGGGAGGTGCTGCGGCGGGTGGGGGCAGGGGCCCAGGACAGCGGGTCAGAGCCGCTCAGGTGTCTCAGTGGCTCCTCTGCGGCGGCGGGCCGGTGGTCACTCCCCTGCAGGAGGGTGGCGTGCACGCCGGCTCCGTGGTGCGGGGGCTGCGGCAGGGGCGGGCTGGGTGGAGGCAGGGCCACTGTCACGCACCCGGGCCAGGGGTCAGCCCGGCCTTGGTGTGGTAGCGCCCCAGGATGGAGAAGGCAGGGCCGTAGTCCTTGCCGGTCCTCAGTATCTTGGGGTTCACGCTGTAGCGCGGCCCTGGGGAGCAGTTCTCCGACAGGAGCATGGGGGCCCCGCGGAAGCTGTAGGCGGGTGCACGCAGCTTGGTGGGCGTGTGCTTCACAAAGCCTGCGGGGCGGGGGGCTCTCAGTGGCCTGGAGCCAGAGCCCGACCTTTCCCCCAGCCTGTTGCACCCGGAGGGGCTGATGCTCTGCGGCCCAGATGAGCCCCAGGCCTGCCCATCCCAGGCTCACCCCAGACCTGGCTCCTGCCCCAGGGAGACCGGCTCCCAGGCACCTACCTGTGGTAGGTGGAATCAGGTACTTGGGCCCGGGGCTGCTGTAGAGGGCCATGATGGGCCCCCGGGGGCGATGGGGCCTCCAGCTTCCCACCCATACGTCCTCCACCATGGTGGCTCTGTGTGTGGACAGGAGGGTGAGCAAGGGCTGGAGGGCCCCCCCCCCGCTCCCGTCTGTACCCCAACCCACTCCTCAGCAGGGTCGAAAGCTGGCCCAGACCTAAGGCGTGTGGCAGCTTCTGTTTGGAGTCGTGGGTTTGCTCTGCCCTCACCAGCACCCAGGGCAGCGGCCTCAGGCGCCGCGGCACAAGCCCAGACCAGCTGTGTGTCCGGGGCCTCATGGCTGCACCTCGCTGGCTCTGGGGGTCTGGGTAGTTCCTCCCAGTCAGAGGCTGCTGGGCATGGCGGGGCAGGAGCAGCGGGCAGCTGGGCTGAGGCTGGGCTCTGGGGTGGGGCGGGGGTGGTGGGCCCCGAGGGGCCCTTGCCTCTTGGGTCCGGGTGCAGCACTCAGAGCAGCCTCTGGACCGCGCCTCCTCAGAGGTGGTCCCGTTGCATCACCCTTGGTGCTGGAGCTCCCCAGAAAGCAGTGTGCACCGAGGGCCTCTGCCCCTCTCCTCTCCCGAGGGGGGCTAGGGGCGTTGGGGCGGGTCCCGGCCCCTGAGCTCTGGAATGTGGCTCTGGGAGGGTGGGTTCTAGATTCCTGTCTGTGTGAGGGAGACAATGGCCTCCCCTGGATGGGGCGACCCCCCCACCACACACCTTGCCAGGTGTGGCTCTAGTCCCGGGACTTCACTCTGCTCCTCGTCACCCAAAAGGGGGTGGCAAGTTCATGGGGACCCAGAGCCAGGTGGCCCAGGGGCAAAGGTCGTGAGGGCCAGAGCCGGGCCTGCTGAGCTCTGTCCTCGGAGACTACTGAGCAGGGGAAGCAGAGGCAGGAAGGAGTCCCGGGGTCCCGGTTCAGGGCTGGAGGGGAGCTGGCGGCCCCTGGCGGGACCCTGCTCTGTGACGTGCCATGCTGGCCAGCCGGCCCCTCAGGCCCAGGACCCTCACAGGCTGGCACAGCCTTTCTTGCCTTTGCTGGACCCCTCTAGGGGCTCGGGCTTGGGCATCTTCCAGGCTCTTTCCCCGGGTGACTTCATGGGGAGAGACCGCTCTCGGCCCTGGGCCAGGCCACATGGGGATGGTGGCAGCTTACTGGACGGCTCAGAGTGAGTGCCCTCCTAGCCGGGCCCTTCCTGGGTCTGGGCTCTGCCTGGCCCCGCTCTGAGCCCATCCCCTGCCCAGACGTGTCTCCGCCCGTCACCCTCCCCTGTCCTCCGGCCTCACGGGCCTCAAATGGCTTTGCATTGTGGGCCCCCCTCTGTGTGAGGCGCTTACACGTGTGCCTCATGCGTGTGCACTGCGTGTGCGTGTGGTTGTGTCCCTGAGTGTGGGAAGAGACAGAGCCAGAGCCTGAGCTGCAGGAGGTTTATTGATCGAGTAGTTGAGGAGGAAGTCACGCATGGCGAAGGGGGCGTGGGCGTGTGGCCACGGCTGCGTGTGGCCACGGCTGCGTGTGGCCACGTCTGGGGTCCGCTAGGCGCCGTCCTCACTGCCCAGCACTTGCGCCTGGAAGGCAGACACGGGTGGGGCCCCTCCCGGTGAGCGGTCACCACAGAGCCGCAGCGCCGTCAGGAGCACAGGTGCGGGCCACCCCCCGGGGGACGGTGGGCCCCTACCGCCGGGGGGCAGTGTGCAGGGGCAGTGATGCCTGCGGTGTCACCCCTGTAGGTGAGGTGGCGTGGGGAGTCTGGGGGCGGAGGGCCTGGGGAGCAGGGCTGCGGGAAGTGGGGTGCCCCGACACAGTACCAGCAGGGTGACCATCGCCTCCTTGTGCATGGACTGCAGGCCGTCGATGCAGGACTTGAGCTCGGCCAGCGCAGCCTTGGCGTTGGCGTTGACGTTGTACTTGCCCAGGGGCCCCTCGTAGAGCTCCTCAGGGGACCCCACCAGCAGCGTTTGCAGGAATTCCATGAAAAACTCACTGTTGTCCTCCCCCGTGGCCCGCCCTGCGTGGGGGGTGGGATGATGCCAGGACAGGGGGAATCCAGCCGGGCCTCCAGCTGCCCCAGGCCTCCAACCTCCGTGGCCTCCAGACCCCCCATCAGGGCCTGCCTCACCTGCGCCAGGTGTCCCCTACGCTTACCTAGCCTCACCTGCCCCTGATCTTTCTCCACAGCACCCCCAAACCTGCATGCCTGCAGACCCCAGCTGCGACCCTAGCCTCAGCTTTCTGTCTTCACTGTCTGCTCCCTGGGCTTCAGGGAAAGGAGAGCCAAGCTCCTGGTGTGGGGATCCCCCTCTGTGTGAGGCCGGCCTGGGGCTCAGAGAGTGGGGGCTGGAGTCGGCAGGGGCTGGGGTCGTTGCCCACCTCTGGGTTCTGGGTTCTGGGATGGAGGAGGGCTGGGGTACCTGGGACTGTTCCACTGTGGGGGGCCAGTGCCTGGGTCTCTAGCTTGCTAGGTCGCCGCCCACCCCCACAGCACAGTGTGCCGGAGGCCCCTGTCCGAGCAGACTCACCGCAGGTGCAGAGCAGGAGAACTGCCGCCAGCAGGAGGGCGCTGCTCCCCTTCATGGCGGACAGCAGAGGTTCCTCGGGAGCAGCCTTGGCTGGCTTTATGTCCCAGGGGCGGCCCCAGGCCTGGGGCGGGTGGGGGTGAGGGCGGGCCGACCTGCCCATCAGGATCTGCCAGGGGGAGGTGGGGGTGGGGGTGTGTCCTCACCTTGCCCTCCAGGGGGCACTGCGCAGCCACGAGCTTAGGTGCTGGTGAGGGTGGGCAGCAAATGGTTTTGGGGGAGTGGGCACAGGTGAGGGGCGCCGTGACCCTGGTCAGGGAGGAAGGACGGTGGTGACAGGGGGCTCTGGCTTGTGGGTCAGAGTGGCTGGCTCTGGGCCGGTTCTGAGTCTTTGTTTTGGGGGTCAGTTTCCCTCCATTCGATGAGCCACACGGGTTGGCATCTGGCTTGCAGCCCAGGGACTCAGGCCAGCAGGGGTGGGGGGCCTTCTGGGGCCTGTGCATCTTGCTGTGGGAGATGGGGGGGGGGGGGGGGGGCGGGGGGGGGGGGGGGGGGGGGCCGTCCCAGAGGCCTGTCAGCACCACCATGCCCTTGCCGGAGGCAAGGGGGCAGAGCTTCCTTCTATGGCCAGCCCAGCCCCAGGTGGTCTCAGATACAGGGGGACAGTCACACCCACCCAACCAGGTGCGTCAGCTGGAGCAGCCATTCCTGGTTTCTGGAGTCCTGGCCTTGCCTCCTGTCCCCTGCTGCCACCTGGTGGCTAATGGTGTCCTACTGGATAGTCCTGCTCACTCCGGAGGACCCGGAGTCCAGCCCCTGCCCAGCCAGCCTCATTGGGCACTGACCTGCACATCCCCAGACCGACCCACAGGTTGGCTTTGTCCACACTGGTGGCCGTGGTGGGCGCTGTCACCCTGCCCCTCATTCGCCTCCCACTGGGCTTGACTGTGTCACGGACCCCAAGGGAGGGGTCTCTCTGAGGTGTCGGGGTTTATCTCCACTGCACCGTTCTCACCAGCATAACCTCGTGTGCCAATGCCCCAACTTCCAGCAAACGCAGCAGAAACACAGCCCCGCCCAGTGATGCGGGCCGTCCTGGGCCCCTCAGACCCCTCGTCTGGCCGCCCCAGCCTTCCGTCTTCAGCTCGGGCCTGGCTCCTGGGGAGGGGCAGACACACACGGCATCTCCCCTCCCCCGCCCCCCCACCCCCCACGCCGGGGCCGCCTTCTGATGGGAAATTGCAGTCGGACCTTCTGTGAGGAGGTCGAGCACTCTGCGGAGCCGTGCGCTGAGCGGTCGCACGCCCGCAGACGCGCCGGTGGCACGGTGACATCGGGGAGCTGCTCGCCCTGACTGCTCAGGCCCCTCGGGCGAGTTTCTGCGCATTCATTCCTCCCTGCGACCCAAGGGGCCCCGGGGGACACGATGTGTCGTTCTTGCACAGAAGCTCGAGGGCCGTTGGACGGCGGCGCTGCCGGAGAAAGCAGCCAGCCGGACGGCCTGGCCGACGCCGCTGATGGCCTGGGGCCGGGGTGGCTTCTTTCTCCTGGGAGTTCCTTCTGTGCCAGCACTGCGAGCTGGACCGCCCGCCCCGACAGCCGGCCCGCCTGGAAAGGTGTCCGGGCTGCGGGAGGCAGCGGCGTGCCCGCGCACCGTGAGGAGGGGCTCCCCTGCCCAGGGACGGGGCTCGGGCCTGCCCGTGGTCCTGCCCCCGCCCAGCACACCTGGAAAGCGCAGCACGGACTCTGTCCTGTTTACTTCTTTTTGCTGGCCTGCGTGACTCCCCTTCCGTCAGACTGGAGCTTTCTGAGGGCAGAGGTCAGGCCCCCTGCTAAGTCCCGTGTCACCTGTGCGTGTGTGGCACAGTCGCCTCTCTGGCCAGACACGCCGCCGGCACGCAGCATGGGGCGTGGGAGGGCTCTCTGCAGAGGACGGGGGAGGGGCACTGCCCGCGGGGCTCCGGCCCCTCACCTCCCAGCTGAGGGAGGGTGCATGCGTGCCCCCGCTGGCGCCCCCCGCTGGGCCGGCTGCCCCGGGACCCACCGTCTTCCGTGTCGGTGGGGGCAGGCCCTGTGTGGCATGTGGACGGTGACTCAAGTGCCCAGTGAGGTTCCCCAGATGTTCCCTGCCCACCACAGGGGTGTGGGCTCTGCCGAGGGAGAGGCACTGTAAGGCAGGGTTGTTGTTCGTGACCTTCAAACCCAGACAGGGCTCGTGAGAAGCATCTGCCCTGCTCAGTGAGGGAGAGGTGGATGGAAACCCTGACCCAGTGCGACCCCGATCTTGCCCTTCCCTGAGGCGGGTGGCTGCGGGTCGGGGGCTTGTGCCCTGACCGGCACCCCCACCTTGGAACACAATGTCCAGAAGGTCCATCAGTGACCGGGAGCCAAAGCTCCCGTCCACGGCCCTGAGGGAAGTGTGTGGTGTGTGTGTGTGTATGTAGGAAGGGAAGCAGGAGGCATTCTGGCTGGAAACTGGAGCTCACAGAGCCTCCCCACTAGCCACCGGCTTGTGTGAGGTCCTTCCATCGGCTTGCTGGGTCTGGTATCAGCCGAGAGGCCACACCGAGGTCCGGTCTGCCCTCAGCAGGGGCAGGACAGGAAAACTTACCCTGGAGCACGCACGGACCCCGAGAAACAAAGCGTCCTGGCTTCTCTGTGCCACACTGGGCCGTCCTGCCTTTCTCCCACGAGGCTCCTCAAAGGAGGCCCCCTGACGGCCGCAGAAGGGGGTCCCACCTCGTTCCCTGGCCGCCTACCACCTGCCACGCTGGGTTCCACGTGGCCTCTTCCCTCCCTGCCTCTGTGGAGGGGCTGTGACGTCCTGGGGCCTTCTCCTAAGAGCGTGGCAGCCTTAGGGACACTGACCTCCAGGCCCCTGCAGGGGACTGGACTAGAAGAGCCTCGTTCTGGTACCTCCGAGGTACCGGTGGCCCATTCCAGTACCTCCATGAATCATCAAAAATGCCAACGTTTTCGAGTCCAAGCTCAATGTCACAGACTGCCTTTGACACTCAGAAGTGGGACAGAAATTCTCAGGCAAGGCACCCCGTTTCCGAGCTCAGGACACGTGGATGCCTCGCGGCGCCCGTGGTCGGCCGGGTCCTGCCTTCGACCCGTTTCCCGGAGGAGGGTTCTGAGGCCTGAGCCGGTCAGAATCGCTGTGCTGCCCCCTCAGATCCTGGGCTCCCCGAAACCCTGGACTGAAGCCCACTGCACTGCCCTCCTGATGGGGCACCTGGCCACACCTCAGCCCAGCATGACTCCCCAACCAGAGGCCCCTCTGGCCGTCAAGCTGGCTCTCACCCAGGTGTTCAGGGCTCACTCACTTCTGGAGTTCCAGCCCCCGATGGCCAGCAGCATCTTCGGCTTGGGATTCCCGGACAAGAGAAGGAAAGGGCCAGAGCTGACCAGCCCGCGCCCAGGGCTCACCTTGCTGACTGGGGCAGCATGGGGCCGGTGGGCGCCCTGGCAGGGGTGGTGGGGGGGTGAGGGGCATGTGAGCTCCTGTGCGCAGAGCCTCTGCCGCGGACGCTCCAGACTAGGGAAGAAGAGACACATACCTGCCTTTGAGGACCTGCCACCTGGCCGAGGAGACGCGTGCTAGGAATTCAGGAGGCGACACGTTTGAACAGAACCCCAGCAGGGTCCGTGAACGCGGTGCGAGCCGATGAGCTGAGGATGGACAGATTTTAGGAGGAGGGGCATTCCCTCCCAGCAGAGGGAAATCGTTTCTTAGTCCAGATCCCACTCAGACCTGAACTGGAGGTCCCCGCGGAGTCCCTTTCTACAGTCATCTCTCCCACAGACACTCGGGAGAGCCCAGAGAGGGGTGTCACTTGTTGAAAGGCACACAGCGGGTGTGTAGCCATACTTCAGTGCTGGGGAAGGTTCGGCTCAGAGAGGGGATTTATTTCCTCACTGCTCTGGAGGCTGGAAGTCCAAGTTCAAGGTGTCAGCCAGGTTGGGTCCTTCTGAGGCTTCTGACCTTGGCCTGCAGATGTCCATCTCCTAGCCGAGTTTCCACCTGACCTCCTCGCTGCCTCTGGTTGTGTCCTCATCTCCTTTTCTTGTAAGGAAGGGCCCACCTGTGCGACCTCAGTTTGCCCTGATTATCTCTTTAAAAGTCTAGTCTTACAAAGCAGTCACCTTCTGAGGAATGGGGGGTTAGGACCTCAGTATGTGAGTGGGGGGCCATTCAGCCCGTGCAGAGAGAATCGAGCTTGGTTCTCACAAAGCTCACTGGCAGAGCTGAAGCCAGATGCCAAGGTGGAAAGGAAGCAGATTTCAAGAAGGCTGACTGAAGATGAAAAGAGAAACTTTGTAGGGAGAGGACAGGTGCCCGAAGGAATTAGGTAAATAACCACAGTGAAGCCAGCCAGCAAACCGACTTCTTCATTAGGGGCCACACAGAGGTGGCCTGTTAGACCCCAACAGTTTCTCTGGAGACGGAGTGGCTGTGAGGCTGCGGCGGCCCCGGCCGGCCGCGGGGCTGTGGCTGCGGACAGAAGACATGGGGGGGGGGAGGCCTGGGGGGGAGGCGCTGAGAGCGGGAAGCCCTGTCGAGGGAGGTGGAGACGGGAGCCCGCGGCTGGCCACCGGGGGTCTCGGTGGGACGCGGGGAGGCTGGGCTGCACGTCCCGCTGCTGCCTCAGCGTGCGCTGTGCCCTCTGAAGGTGGGCGGTCAGGTTAGTCCCAGGTTGGGACAGAGAAAGCCACTTCCTTTTCTTTAAAAAAATAAATTTTTTACTTATTGATTTTAGAGAGTGAGGAAGGGGGGGAGAGAGGGAGGAGGGGAGACAAAGAGCGAGCAAGCGCAACTTGTTGTTCCACTTGCTTCTGCATCGTTGGTGGTTTCTTGCAGGTGCCCTGGCCCAGGCTCAAACCAGCAGCCTCCGCACGTCAGGACGACACTCCCACCCGCTGAGCTGTCCTGCCAGGGCCGCAGACAGAACCATTTTCAGTGGATATTTGTGCCACTAGTACTTTTTCATTTTCAGGTTTTTTATTGTTTACGCTTATTTTATTTGCAAATTATGTAAAACTGGTAGGGTGTCA